TTTTGTTAGATTTATGCCTATTTCTCTTTTTTTGAGCAATTGTAAATGGCATTATATTTTTAATTTCAATGTTCGTGTTCCTTACTAGTTTATAGAAATTGATTTTATATGTTTTTCTTATATCCTGTGAGCTTTTTGAACTCGTTACTTCTAGGAGGGTTTTTGTGTGTGTGTATGTGGTTTCTTTGTAGATTCCTTATTTCTACACAGACAGTCATATTAAGTGCAAATAGGGATCGTTTTTCTTCCTTTTCTCATCTGTATGGCTTTTATTTGCTTTGTTTGCCTTGTTGGGACTCCTTGCAGGGACTCCTTCTAATTACTGCCAAGTTTGAGTAGAATTCCAGGTTCCACGCTTGGCATGGTTGACACCAGTTGATGGGGGGTCCTGGATCCCCACTACGCCTCCACTAATGCCTCCCTGCCTAGAAGGGACAAGAGTACCCCGTCACTCACTGCGCCCCACATGGCTCCTCTGACACCACCCCAGGAAGGATGTGAGGGGCATCTGGTCACTGCCAAGTGTGGGTAGAAGTCTAGGCTCCCACCTGGTCTTCACTTACATTGTGGGGTAGGGGCCTCCTTACCGCCCACCAAGGATAAAACTGCTGTCTACTCAGCCTTCTCTGGTATCACCACCTGGGGTGTTGGGCTGTGCAGCCCAGCCTGGTGAGGGTACAGCTGGGGCTCCTGAGGCCCTTGCTGGCGCAGGTGGGAGTGTAGCTACCATGTTTTCTCCAGTGTTTATTTCCTAAAATTTTCCTGTCATGCCAGCCTTCCCCTGTCCTGGTCCTTTGGCTAAAGGAAGCAGGCTTTGGGGGACTTTTTTTGTTTTCAACATTGACATTTCTGGTTGTTGGTTTCTTGGGCTCCAAATGTGGCATATACGAAACAAAAAGAAAACCCAGGCAGCCTGGGTAACCTGGCAAACCCTCGTCTGTACAAAAAAATACAAAAATTAGCCAGGTGTGGTGGTATACACCTGTAGTTCCAGCTACTTGGGAGGCTGAGAAGGGAGGATTGCTTGAGCCCAGGAGGTCAAGGGCGCAATGACCTGTGATCATGCCACTGCACTGCAGCCTGGGTGACAAGAGTGAGACCCTATCTCAAAAAAAAAAAGAAAACCCAGGGACGTCACCAGCTGTCATCCTTGGGTCTCAAGGCCCCTAGGCAGTCTGCCTTCTTCTCTCCATCTTTCAGGGTCACCTTATGTTTCTTTTATAGGTAGTGTCCAGTGTTTTTGGTTGTACGCAGTGGGAGGAATATGGAAAGGAACATCCACTCTGTCTTCCCAGAAGCAGGACAGTGCTGCCCTTTTTGCTGAGTCTTGTTACTTACTGGCTGTAAACTTTCTTGAGACAAGCAAACCTATTCTAGAGTTTCCGATCCCCCATAAGGCCTGTGTATATGAAGGTGCTTAATAGTGACTGACTGACTGTTCATATGGTGCCTTGACCTCACAGAGAGATAAGTTCTGAGAACTGTGATTAGGAGAGACTTTAAAGAGCCTTCTAGAACCTCCGCACACCTAAGCAATGGAGGCTCCCAGCTTCCTGAAGAGGCTGGTTGGCCTTGTCCCTTTTGTCTTCATGGAGAGGTTGGGAACAGAGGCAGACTACCCCTGAGCCCCCTTGGAATATAAGCCTTCAAGTTGCTGTGGTTGGCTGAGGCCTTCTTGTTTCATGACAACTACACGTTCTGGGGAGCTACCCCTTGGGAGCTTGTGGCAGGGTGTCCACGGCATTCATCCCATGTCTCCTGAAATAGGAGGACCATGACATCATGGAAGCCGATCTGGACAAAGACGAACTGATCCAGCCCCAGCTCGGAGAACTCTCAGGAGAGAAGCTTCTGACCACGGAGTACCTGGGGGTAAGTGCCACACGAAGGGTGGGGATCTTGAAACAGAAAGGCCAGATGGACGTGGATGGATTTCGTGTTTTCAGTGACACAGAGGGCTTAGTTTGGTTTGTTACCATACTGTGTTTATGAGAAGGTCCATGTTAGCCAGTCTTCTCTCAGTGGCCCTGAAATGCACTGTGGCCCTAGCTGCCTGTCACAAGTAGACAGGTATATGGATCGGGGAAAGATATAACTAAAAGGCACATGCCAGGGGCCTTTGGAACATCACAAGGTATGCCTGACCCCAGTAGCAATCGCCTACCATCCCACTTTTTAATTTCTGCATGCCTTTTGTATTGGAAGGGAATACTGAGGTAGACTTGGAAGTCATTGGCGCAGAGGTGTTGGCTGAAACCATCATAGCCCATGAGGTTACCCACTGAAGCACAGTGTGGAGAGAGAGTGGGGGATGAGCAAGGAGGGGCATTCCGGCAGTCAAGATGGGAGAAAGGAGGGGACCCAAGAAGGCCAGAAAGTGAATAGTCACGGAGTCCTCAGGAGAACTGAAGAAGGTCATGGAAACAGAAGGGAGGGGTGTTTCAGGATGGAGCCAGTGGTCAGTGCAAGCATCTAAGAGGCCTGTGGAGTCACCATCTGGGATGGGGCCTTAAGCTGACCTCTGAGAGCTCCGATTGGCTTGGATGCTCAGCCAGCTCCAGAACCACTGGCTTACGACCCACCAGCTAAACAAGGCAGGGTGTGAGTCGGGAGGAAGCAGCCACTCCTCAGGAGAGGACAGCAGTGCCAGGGCCCGCAGATATCTCAGAGAGCAGGTGGGGGGGACCAGGTGGGATGCTGGAGTGTAAGGGTCTGGAAGGGAGCAGCAATTGCCGGGAACCAAGACCAATTCAGACTGAAACCCTGTGTGGGACAGCTGAGCACATAGGGTAGAAGAGTCACTAAAAGAGGCTCCTAGAACTTTGAAGCTGGCGGTTGCTTCGGTCAGTTGTTTGGACCCCAAAGTCTCCTCATAGCCAGCAGGTTGTTGTTGGAGAAGAAGAGTGGAACCAGTGTCTCAACAAGTGACTGGCACAGCCAGAGTCTTGGGAAGGAGAAAGACGATGCATGCAGGTGGCCTGAGCCTTTAGGGGAGCAGGTGGAAGCAGAAAGTGCCTGCCAGGTCCCATTGCCACCCCCCAGCCAGACCCTCGGTACCTCCCCAGAACACTGGGCCGCCTGGTCACCTGGCCCTCATGGCTTCCTCATCGCCTGTGGAACTTCAGGAGTTCTAAGCTGGAGTGCAGTGCGTGGTGGTGGGACTTCAGGTTGGAGAGACAGCCACAGTCCAGACCATGTGGCTTTGTAGGTCATGGCAAGGGTTTTAGATTTTATTCTACGAGAGCTAGGACGCCACTGGAGGTGAGAGCAAGGAAGTGACTTGGTTTGACTCATGTTCTAACATATCCACTATATTTTCACGCTGTGAAGGCAGGGATGTGACTGATGGAGTCTGGGGGGCGGGGAACCACCGCGACCCCTTTCAGGGATAGGAGCTGCTGAGCCAGTAGCTGCCATTCCTTAGAACATCTCGAGGATCAAAGGAGTCTAATTGGCTGTGGAGCTGTTTACATTAGGTCGAGCAGGGAGGTGCTCAGGAAAAGTCAGAATTGCACCCGTCAAGGTTCCAAGTTGTTGATGGAAGCCTAAGGCGTGACTAGGCCTGTGTCTCCCTTTGGAAGAATGCTGGCTTTGTCAGAGACGCGGCTCCATGTGGTAGGATAGAAGCATCTGCAAGACACTTCTGCTTCACGGGCAGGCGGTGAGGAAAACAGAGGAGGCAAATTGGTGGGGCTTCCTCAGAGGGCGCGTGGTGATACCTGTTGAGACCGCGGTGCGTGTACCCCTGACCACACTGCCGCACAGGCAGACACGCAGGCAGGTAAACGTGAGCAAGGATGTCCATTTGCAGCCAGGTCAGACAGAAGCTTGAATACAGTGCTCAGTTAATAATTTAGAGGACCTCTCCCCAGTGAAATGCCATGGGGGAGATCTTCTGTTGATATGGTAAACATTTCAACAACAACAAAAAAGCAAGGTGCAGAACGTGGTGAGACTGCTAGTTTAATCATGCAGATTGGTGAGGCGCAAAGGCACAGAGCTTTCAAATCAGTCAGTAACCCCGGTGTAATGGCATCTGGAAATGATACCATCTTACCATGATAAGCGGTTCCTAAACCTCCTAAATGTTTATGGATGACGCTTTTACTAGAAGGAAGCCGTGGGTGGAGATGTGAGTACTGAGAAACACAGAATCCGCTGTGTAGATGGGAAGACCCAGTACAATTTGGTATTTCCCATGGCTGCAGTAACAAAGCACCTTTAACTGCAGACTTAAAGCAGCAGAAATTTATTCTGTCTTAGTTTTGAAAGGCAGAAATCCAAAATCAAGGTATCGTTAGGGCTGAGCTCCCCACAAGGACCCTGTGGGAGGACCCTTCTTGCTCTTCCAGCTTCTGGTAGCCCCAGGCCATCCTTGGCTTGTGGCTGTGACCTGCCAGTCCCTGGCCTGTCTTCACATGGCGTTCCCCTCTTCTGTCTTTTGTAAGGACGCTTGTCCCCCAGGTGACCGAGGATGAGTTCTTCATCTCAAGGGTCCTTATTACATCTACAAGGGTCTTTTTTCCAAGTAAACTCATTCACAGTTTCCAGGGGTCAGGACATGGGCATAGCTTTTGGGGCCCACCATTCAGCCGACCCCACCAGGTCACCATAGGATCTCATGAATATTTTGATTAGAAAATGTAATGTGGAGCAGTAAGCGCTGAGGCCAGACACGTGCTCCCAGCACTGCCCCCGTTCATGGGGCATCCCCCACCGCCCTGTCACTCGGTCTTGTGATCTACATTGCCAGCCTGCCAGCCTCTGTGTGCCAGGTTGGGGATCTCAGAAGATGGGATCCCACCTTGCCATGCCCTTGTGGTACATGAAAGGCCTGTAAATTCACATTTTTGTTGCGTTTTGTGTGTGTGCCAAGCTGAGGAGCTCTGACCAAGATAGAAGATATTTCACTGGAAAATATGTGCCTGAAAGTCGTGATCCAGGCCCCTTGTTCTGATGTACTGGGTACATTGCAGATTTGTCAAGATGAGTCTAAAGATGTTGGCTTTTTGAAACATTCTGTCAGAAAATTATATTCCAAAAGCTTTGATTGAACCTGTGCCATCTGCCCAACACAGCGGAATGCCGAAGAGACTTAAGACACAGCTGTTACCTTCAAGAAGTTTACAGAAGGCGTCAAACAGCTAAAACTGCTCTTGCTGAGCGGTGTAGATAACAGCTAGGAGTGGTCAGTGGCCGGCAGGTGTGATCCTGCAGAGTGAGGGCCTGTCCCAGACCACCGAATCTGGGTTAAGGATAGAGTCTAGGCCCTACACTATACCTCCTGACCATAATCCCAGGAACCAATCATGGTGCACGCCAGTAATTTAAAAACCAGCCAGCAGCTTGGGGGTAGGGGTGGAGGTGCGACTGGAGCATCCGCCAGAGTGTTCAGGGATGAGAGAAAGCTATTCCCAGGATCCTGGACCAGTAGCCCACCCCTTCCCTGCAGGGCCACACTGCTAGTCCCCACCCTCTAGGTCTCCCACACAGCTCCTCTGCCCTGCAGAGCACAGGCTGTGAAAATGCTGAAGAGCACGGCGATCTCAGAAAGCTAGTGACAGAGAACAGGTCACTCTTCCAAGGCTTGCAGGAGTAGCAATGGCCCCGTGAGATGTGTTGCTTACTCATAATTCTAGTGAAGCCCTGTGCTGTTCTCCCATAGGCTGTGAACGTCAGAGTTCAAGACTGCTGACTTTCCTCCTGCTTCTCCTGCCTCTAGCATTTGTGAAATTTTTAGTGCCATGCATACTGCGCTGAGTAATCAACAATGCCTCTGGTCGGGCACGGTGGCTGATGCGTGTGATCCCAACACTTTAAGAGACGAGGTGGGAGGATTGCTTGAGCTCTAGAGTTCAGGACCAGCCTGGGCAATGTAGGGAAACCTTGTCTTTACTAAAATTTTTTTAAAAATTAGCCAGGTATGGTGACGTGCACCTGTAGTCCCAGCTACTTGGGAGGCTGAGGTGGGAGGATCACCTGAGCCCAGGAGACGGAGGCTGCGGGGAGCTGTGATTGCACCATGCACTCCAGCCTTAGAGTGCAAAAATAAATAAATAAACAATTATTGTAAAAATAAATAAATACAAATACAAAGAGAAAACAATTCTTCCTAAGAAGAATGCTCTGACTTAAATAGCTCCATCACCTGAGTTAAAGGATATAGACATTTATGACAGAATCATGGAATCCCAGTTTTTTTTGCTTTTATTTCAAAGTGACCTTTAACAGTAATAGGCAAATCTCAGATTAATTCAGCACATGCCATGGGCCAAGTCCTGTGCTGACTGCTTCACACGACTCCATTTGACTGAATCCTCCCAGCAAACTTACGGGGCATCTTCCACTAGTATCTGCATTTTATAGAGGAGGGCACTGAGGCTGAGAAAGGCTGAGTCGCTTCCAGGTGTTACCTGAGCCCACCTGCCTTTTACGGCTCAGCCGGGCCGCCTTGCAGCAGCACTAGCCGTTGTCAGGTGAGTGGATTCTGTACTTGCAAGTTGAGAGAGCTCCAACCCGTGTGACATATCCGTAATTACTATATGATCTGTGTTTTCATCACAGACTCAGTTTTGGGAGAATGTCTATTGTGAATGCGAATTGCTCCCTTTGGACACTTCCTTTCCCTCCATCAAGTGAGAACCCAGATCCATTTAGTTTTCCTAAGAATCCCCGAAAGAGCTGGTTAAAGTGCAGGTTCCTGGCCCCACCTCCAGAGAATCTGAGGCTGTGGCAGTACCCCAGGAGTGGGCATTTTTATTTTACCCTGAAGTGGTTCTGAAGCAGGAGTCTGGGTCCTGGAGACTTGGCCATTTGGACAGAACTCAGGGTGTTAATGCAGCCGCCCCCAGCCTGTCTTCTGCAGCATGGCA